GCAGACTATGATATGCATTACAGAACATCCACTAAACAGATTGCAAAGACAGAACGAAATCTTACCCTTGTACGTAGCCAAGCAGATACAACCCATTACATGGCTGTTGTCAAATAAACAATACTTTGTCCTCAAGTAAGAAGACTTAACAGAATCATCTGTGGCTCACAGTTCACCCTACACTTGCCTGGTAATTGGAGTGGCCATCTGTGTCAGTCAAGTGGCTTTATGCAAAGAGAAAAATTAACTTCTCATATTTTTAACACAGGAAGTGATTTTGCAAGTTAAAACAAAGTGCTTAAGTTAGACGCCCACCTGCCCATGGAGACTGGAAGAGAAAGGTTCTAGCTTCCTTGATAATTACATCTCAAAGGGATGGTTGTCAACCTTTGCCCATTTTTTAATTGGATGATCTATTTGTTTGTTTTGTTATTAAGTTGAAGACGTTTCTTATATATTTTGGAATTATCATTTATTGAAAGAAGACATACAAGTGCCCAACAGGTATATCAAAAGATTCTCAATATCACTAATCGTCAAGAAAATGCAAATCAAAATCACAATGAAATATTACCTTAAACGTGTTAGGATGGCTATTAGTGAGAAAAAAAGATATGTGTTGGCAAGGATGTAGAGTAACTGGAACTTCTGTACACTGTTGGTAGGAATGTAACATGGTGCAAAGGCTATGGAAAACAGTACTAAGTTTCCTACAAAAATAAAAAGTGGAACTACCATATGATGTAGCAATCCTATTTCTGCGTATTTATCCAAAAGGATTGAAATCAGGATCCTGAAGAGACATTAGCACTCCTATTTTCACTGCAGCACTATTCCCAGTGACTAAGATGTGGAAAGAAACTTAATGTCCATCAGTGGATGAATGGATAAAGAAAATGTGACATATATATACAGTGAAATATTATTCAGCCTTTAAAAGAAAGGAAGCCTTGCAATATGTGATGGCATGGATGAATCTTGTGGACATCATCTCTCTATATAAGACTTATGTAAGACAATATTTCTGAAAATGCTATACAGTATAATTACTAGAGGCTCTTTCTACCAGAAGGACTGTGTAAAGTAGTGTGGATGAAGCCGGGACCTCCTCTTCTCTGCACATCCTCAAAAACAATGCTTACATTGCTTTTGATGTGAAAGTTGACACCTGAAGTTGTGTGCCTTGGCAGCGTTGGAAGTAGCCTTGGTGATCCATTTGAACTACAACTTAGAAAATGGGGATTATGCCGTGCAAATAGAAATTATCTTTCCGCCTTCCACAGTCAAGGAAAGAATGAGGCAGTATAGACAAAGGGAAGACTGAGGAAGAGACAAGAAGATACAGCAGTCTTCTTTTGTCTGTGGTTTTGCATTTTATGATTTCATTTACCTGAAATCCATTTTATACTTGAATGGGCTCAGGAAAAGAAAAGGACTTAACAAGATCATGCAACTAGTTAGTATCAGAGCCAGAACTAAGGCCCAGGTCTCCTGAAATTCAAGTCAATGCCATTTTGATCACAGCATATAGCCCTGATTGAGCAAGAGTTTAGGCTGTTACTGTGGATCAGGGCAAGCCTCACTACCTGTACTTGGATCTGACCTTCATTTACTGTGTGCCTTGACCCTTTAAGCTAAGTAGCAATTCTCTCACTACCTTTGTCACCACTGAAATGTACTTGCCTTCTTGTAAACTCACCAGCAAGAGAAGCATTATACGGAATAAACAGAAATGTTCACAGGATGCTTTGAGCACATAGTTTAGTGAAAAACATGACAAGAAAATCAGCAATTATTAATACTTTTCATTAAATGCCATAAGGACCAGAAATTAACCTCTCTGAAGATGACATTACTTTTTTTAACGATGTGTGTTGGCAAAGATGTAGCAAAGGTAAGTCTGGACAGATGCGTCCAACATTGAACAGGGAGAAGGTGACTGAGGAGAGTAGAAAAAGGAAAAGCAGAACATTGATATTCTAGGCAGAGAGAAAGATAAGTTCAAAAACAGGTGAATGGAATACCACATTGTGTTCTGAAACTACACCTTATGCCTAGTGGGAGAAAGGGGATGTGCTGGAGAAAGATCAAAACTGAAAATAAGAAAGATAAATAGAAAGGAAGTTATAAAACAAAGTCTCCTGTGTTATTTTAAGTGTTTTGATTTAGTCTAAGACAGGAACCCACTGAAAAATTTACAAAGGAAGTGATGTGATTAAATTTGTCTTTTAGAAAGATGATTCTGGCAGAAGTATGAGAGATGGACTGGGTAGGAAGCCAGTGGAGTAAGGAAAATAATTTAAGAATCGACTGCAGAAACCTAAGGAGAAATGTGATGATCAGAAATAAGCTGTAGGCAGTGGGAATGGAGGGGAGGATGAGTGAGATTCTGAGATATTTAGAAGGTAAAATGTCTAAGCCAGGACCGATTAGACTTGTGTTTGGGGAGGAAAAATGGAATAAGGAACAGAAAGAAAGATAGGGCATACAGGTTTCCTCTTGGGCAATTAAATGGATCTAAATATCATTTTATTAAGAATGAAGTAAAATAGGAATAACACTTTGGAAGGCAAATAAAGTATAATTTTCAAAAAGGTAAAATAATGACTCTCATGCAAATGTAGATAAACATGTTCAAAGACTTTACTCAACTCATTAATTACTAAAGGTACCAGCAATATGCTTGACCTGGTCCAAAGACTATTTGAGAAGTCAGTTTATACAGAGAGATAACTTAATAGATTGCCATATTAGATACAAAACTGGTTAATATTCAATAACAGCATAAACTTTATCTCTCGGATTACTGGTTCCACTGGATGGAAATTCTTTGCATCTCTACCCAACATAAATCTCTAAAGTAATCTCTGCCCCTGCAAAATTGTAAAATAGCAGTGTAAAGAGAAAGTCAAGATTAACACTGTACTGAAAGAATATCTAGTTATCTTGTTTGACTATTTAGAAAAAGCTGATGAGTTCGTATCTGAACATGGTGAGTGTAAGGTACTTCTAAAATACTATAAAAAAGAGGCCCATGTCTTCATTGGTTTTCTGTTGCTATAATAGAGCATTACAAGCTGGTTATTTTACTTTATAAAAGAAATTTATTTACTACAGTTCTGGGAGCTGGGAAGTCCAAGGTTGAGGGACCACATCTGGTGAGGGCCTTCTTACTGCTTCATAACATGGCAGAGAATATCACATGGTAAAAAAGCAAGCGCATGCCCTCTCAGCTCTCCCTTCCTCTTCTTATCAAGCCAACAGTCCCATCATGGGGCCTCAACCTGATGAGTTTATCTAATCCTAATTGTTTCCCTAAAACCTCACCTCTTGATACTATCACGATGGCAATTAAATTCCAACATGAATTTTGGAGGGCAAACTCAAACAGCAATCCATTAGGCAGTTGGATAAAGGAATCTAGAAATTGAGGTTTTTGGAGTTCAAGGCTTACTTATAATAGGTGAAGGCATGAGGAAAGATAGCTTACCCAAGAAAGTATGCAGAATCAGAATCTGAAGTAAAAAAGAAACTTAGAAATATTAATATTTAAGGATTTATCAAGAAACAATGTATATAAAGGAGTAATATTGATTAGAAAAAAAAAGTTGCAAATAGAAACCAAGTGATGTTTCTCTCAAGAAAGAGGGTGTAGTCTTCAGTAACATTTACCATAAAATATCCAATAGGAAGGAGAATGCAAAGATACCATTGTATTTGTGACTAGATAACAATTACTAACCTTGATAAGAATATTTTTATTTGGGTGACAAGACTTTAAAATATTAATACGAAAAGTGAGGAAGAAATGATGAAAAGAAAGTAGGTAAATAATTTTTTTCTAGGATGGGGAAAGTTTCAGCATACAGTAAATATTTCCCTGGAAGGAAAGAATCAATAGAGTGGGAAAGGCCATGGTTTAGGAGGGAAGGGATTGTATGAGTCTGTTCTCACATTGCTACAAGGACCTACCTGAGAGTGGGTAATTTATAGAGAAAAGAGGTTTAATTGGCTCATGGTTCCATAGGCTGTGCAGGAAGCATGGCTGTGGAGACCTCAGGAACTTTCATTCATGGCAGAAGGGGAAGGGGAAACAAGCACATATTCACACGGTCAGCAGAAGAGAGAGAGAAGGGGGAAGTGCTCCACACTTTTAAACAACCAGATCTCATGAGAATTCACTCACTGTCATGAGAACAGCAAGGGGGAAATCTGCTCCTATGATCCAGTCACCTCCCATGAGGTCCCACCTCCAACACTCAGGATCACAATTCAACAGGATGTTTTGGTGGGGACACAGAGCCAAACCATATCAGGGATGATGATGGTGTGAAGTCACTGAGAACTGGGATGAGATGAGATCCAAGGCACTTTTGGAGGGTGTAGCTAGCCATAAAGTAGTGTGACAGATATTTCTCTGAGATTAGAGGAAAGACAAAATGAAAAAATAATTATATGTGTCAATACAGTTATATTGGTCATCTGGAGAGGAAGTCAAGAAAAATTCTGCCTATTTCTTTCTCTCTTTTTCCTGTAGGGTCATTACTAAAAAGTGTGAGTCAGGAAAAGAATGGTAAAAATTCGAGAATTCTACTATGGGGAAAAAACAGGAGAAATAATTATTAATAGAAAATGCATTGCTAGTTGAATAGGTGAATAATGTTAGACTCATTTCAAGGTGCAGAACATGAATTGATAGTGGTTTAGTGATATTCTCCAACAGTGCTCAGCAATCTATACAAGAGAATAAAGGTATAAATATATGCTTTTATAAGTATTAAACAGCAAGAGGTAAATTCTTGCAGGAATCTCACCTCATGATGAAAAGAGCAGAAACCGTAAGTCACATGACTCTGCTGCTGCTGCTGCTAATGACTTTAAATATCACTTATAATACTGAGAAGCATTTCCACAGCTGAGGTATGAAAATTCCTACTAACCTCAGTACCCAAAGTTGTTTCAAAAATGGATAATATGTATCTTTTTTATTCCCATTGCAGGCTTTCTCCACCACCACAACAGCATGTGGTCTGACAGAAGTGGCTTCATAGAAGAACCTAATTCCAACCTCTTGCAGGAAACTGCACTGCCCTCAACATCCAGCCCCTACACCTTGGTCCTCCAAACCCCCAAATTCTGCAGGAGAAAGGCAGCATGGTACATGGGAAAGAAGACCAGACTGAGCGATTTGGAATCTACATCCTAATGCTGCCACAAGCTGCATGCACAGAAAAAGACCTTAGGCACATCATTTCGTTTCTCTGTACACTGGTGTATCTACTATGTATGTATCAAAATATATAATATGGACCACAGTAAACTGAGCAAAGCCTTAATTTTCTCCCAAGCTTTGACATTGCCAAGGGCAGTTAGGAGACTTCAGGATCAAGTTTAGGGGACAAGTTTGTTTCTAATACTTTCAAAGGGCCCAAGCTAAGAGAGGAAGGACATCTCACTTTCTGGCTCTAAAAGCATGCTTCATCTCACAGTAGGATTCCCTCTATACCTCTGTTCATCCCTGTGTTCCTAACTAAATTCCAGAAAATCTTCCACAACACCAGAGTCCTTTCTTTCTTCTTGAGACCTCCTTTGAAGAAATCAACTTGGAGGCTCCTCCTTAAATCCAGTTTCTTTCTCTACCCAAAATTTTGCATCTTTATAGAAAAAGAGATAAGTAGGATTCAGAGTCTCTTCTCCTAGCCATTGTGGGGGAGGAAAACACTATTTCTGCTGGCAGAAAACAACACAAATAATTTTTTTAAAATCAGGGCATGTTTTTAAAGCTAATTAACAGCTGTAGTTTGCTTTGGAAGTTAAATGTTTTGTCAATAAACAGGGCTTGAGCACATGTAGTGCTCTCTTAGGCAGTATGTGGTTTCAGAGCATCTTGGACACATTTCTCCCCTGAGAAAGTGTTAGTATTAATAGGATGGGAGAAGTAAGATATATGCATTTCCAGAAGTGTATTATTTGGCTGCCTAATAAATTATGAGACAAAAAAAATGACAGGAAGAGAGGGACTTGAGGGAATTTGAGGGAAATCATAACCAAAAGTGAAAAGGAAAAAATTACATCAGACATGATAAACAGAAGTTGATTTTGTTCTGATGCTATTGCCAGCATTAGGGGAGAAGGCACAAACTAAATCTGATACCTAGTGAGGCAGAGACAAAGGGCTAGGGTGGAAAAATTTTAAACCATCTGTGTTTACTAATTCGCCATACCAAAAGAAAAAAATGAACTTTCTCCTATTAAGATAGTTTTGCAATTTGGAAAAAGCCCCCATTCCAAGTTTCCTACCCTTCCCACCCACAGAAACCAGGAGACAGGGGCACAACCTTCCTTGATGTTTGCATTTCAAAGAGGTGGTTCTCAGGTCCTAGAGAAAGATATTCCTGAGTTGTAAAACTGGAAAGAGGCTGTGAGAAGATTTACATCTCAAGAAATAGAAAGAACTACTATAAATTTTTCTAAAGCAAATATTCTTAAGGGAGGTCAAGGGCCTGGAGTCAGGAAGAAACCTATTTGGGCAAGCTGAGGGGAAAGTTAAGGCTATCTTGGTCACGAGAGAACAGAAAGAGCTGAGAGTATTTCATTTAAAGAATGATATAGTCCATTCTCACACTGCTATAAATAAATACCTGAGACTGGGTAATTTATACAGAAAAGAGGTTTGATTAGCTCATAGTTCTGCAGGCTATACAGGAAGCATAGCAACATCAGCTTCTGGGGAGGCCTCAGGGAGCTTTAACTCATGGAAGGCAAAGTGGGAGCAGGTATCTTACATGGTGTGAGCAGGAGGAACAGAGAAAAGGGGAGGTGCTAACACTTTCAAATGACCAGATCCTGTGAGAAGTCATTCACTATACAGTACCAAGGGGAGATGGTGCTAAACCATTAATGAAAACTCTACCCGGCAATCTAATCACCACCCACCAGGCCCCACCTCCAACAATGGGGATTACAATTTGACATGAGATTTGGGCAGGGAAGCAGATCCAAACTGTCAGGCCTCTGAGCCCAAGCTAAGCCATCATGTCCCCTGTGACCTGCACGTATACATCCAGATGGCCTGAAGCAACTGAAGAATCACAAAAGAAGGGAAAATGGCCGGTTCCTCCCTTAACTGATGACATTACCTTGTGAAATTCCTTCTCCTGGCTCAGAAGCTGCCCCACTGAGCACCTTTTGACCCCCATCCCTGCCCGCCAGAGAACAACCCACTTTGACTGTAGCTTTCCACTATCTACCCAAATCCTATAAAATGGCCCCACCCCATCTCCCTTTGCTGACTCTCTTTTCGGACTCAACCCACCTGCACCTAGGTGATTAAAAAGCTTTATTGCTCACATAAAGCCTGTTTGGTGATCTCTTCACATGGACGTGCGTGACATTTGGTGCCGTGACTCAGATCGGGGGACCTCCCTTGGAAGATCAATCCTCCGTCCTCCTGTTCTTTGTTCCATGAGAAAGATCCACCTACAACCTCTGGTCCTCAGACCAACCAGCCCAAGGAACATCTCACCAATTTTAAATCGGGTAAGCAGCCTCTTTTTACTCTCTTCTCCAACCTCTCTCACTACCCCTCAACCTCTTTCTCCTTTCAATCTTGGTGCCATCCTTCAATCTCTCCCTTCTCTTAATTTCAGTTCCTTTCCTTTTCTGGTAGAGACAGAGGAGACACATTTTGTCCATGAACCCAAAACTCCAGTGCCGGTCACGTACTTGGGAAGACAGTCTTCCTTTAGTGTTTAATAACTGTGGGGATGTCTGCTTGATTATTCACCCACATTTTAGAGGTGTCTGATCATCGTGGGGATGCCTGCCTTGATCCTTCAACCTTAGTGGCAAGCACCACTTTCCTGGGTGACAAGCACCCCCCACCCCTTCTCTCTGTGTCTCTACCCTCTCTTTTCTCTGGGCTTGCCTCCTTCACTAGAGGCAATATTCCACCCTCCATTCCTCCTTCTTGTCCCTTAGCCTGTGTTCTCAAGAACTTGAAACCTCTTCAACTCACACCAGACCTAAAACCTAAATACCTTATTTTCTTCTGCAATGCCGCTTAATCCCAATACAAACTCAACAGTGGTTCCAAATAGCCAGAAAATGGCACTTTCGATTTTTTCCATCCTACAAGATCTAGATAATTCTTGTCATAAAATGGGCAAATGGTCTGAGGTGCCTGATGTCCAGGCATTCTTTTACACATCGGTCCCTCCCTAGTCTCTGTTCCCAATGCAACTCATCCCAAATCCTCCTTCTTTCCCTCCCACCTTTCCCCTCAGTCCCAACCCCAAGCATCACTGAGTCTTTTCAATCTTCCTTTTCTACAGACCCATCTGACCTCTCCCCTCATCCCCAGGCTGCTCCTCCTCAGGTCACTCCCCACCAGGTTGAATCAGGCTCCAATTCTTCCTCAGGTTCTGCTCCCCCATAATCCTTCTATCACCTCCCCTCCTCACACCTGGTCCAACTTACAGTTTCATTCCGTGACTAGCCCTCCCCGACCTGCCCAGCAATTTCCTCTTAAAGAGGTGGCTGGAGCTAAAGGCATAGTAAAGGTTAATCTCCTTTTTCTTTATCTGACCTCCCCCAAATCAGTTAGTGTTTAGGCTATTTTTCATCGAATATAAAAACCCACCCCAGTTCATGGCTCATTTGGCAGCAACCCTGAGGTGCTTTACAGCCTTAGATCCTGCAAGGTCAGAAGGCTGTCTTATTCTCAATATGCATTTTATTACCCAACATTAAATAAAGCTCCAAAAATTAGATTCCGGCCCTCAAATCCCACAACAGGACTTAATTAACCTCGCCTTCAAGCTGTACAATAATACAGAAGAGTTGTAATTACTTGCCTCCACTGTGAGAGAAACCCCAGCCACATCTCCAGCACACAAAACTTCAAAACACCTAAGTCATAGTGGTCAGGCATTCCTTCAGGACCTCCTCCCCAAGGATCTTGTTTCAAGTGCCAGAAATCTGGCCACTAGGCCAAGGAATGCCTGCAGCCCAGGATTCTTCCTAAGCCTTATCCCATCTGTGCGGGACCCCACTGGAAATCGGACTGCCCAACTTATCCAGCAGCCACTCCCAGAGCCCCTGGAACTCTGGCCCAAGGCTCTCTGACTGACACTTTCCCAGATCTTCTTGGCTTAGTGGCTGAAGATTGACACTGCCCAATCACCTTGGAAGCCTCCTGGACCATCACAGATGCTTTCGGTAACTCTTACAGTAGAGGGTAAGTCCTTCCCTTCTTAATCAATATGGAGACTACCCACTCCACATTACCTTCTTTTCAAGGGCCTATTTCCTTTGCCTCCATAACTGTTGTGGTTATTGACAGCCAGGCTTCTAAACCTCTTAAAACTCCCCAACTCTGGTGCCAACTTGGACAATATTCTTTTATGCACTCCTTTTTAGTTATCCCCACCTGCCCTGTTCCTTTATAAGGCCGAGACATTCTAACTAGATTATCTGCTTCCTTGACTCTTCCTAGGCTACAGCCATACCTCATTGCCACCCTTTTCCCCAGTTCAAAGCTTCCTTGTCATCCTCCCCTTGTATCTCCCCACCTTAATCCACAGATATGGGACACCTCTACTCCCTCCCTGGCAATTGATCACATGCCCTTTACTATCCCATTAAAACTTAAATCACCCTTACCCCACTCAACGCCAATATCCCATCCCACAGCATGCTTTAAAAGGATTAAAGCCTTTTATCCTTTTATCGTTTGCCTGTTACAGCATGGCCTTTTAAAGCCTATAAAGTCTCCTTACAATTCCCCCATTTTACCTGTCCAAAAACCAAGCCTTACAGGTTAGGTCAGGATCTGTGCCTTATCAACCAAATTGTTTTGCCTATCTACACTATGGTGCCAAACCCATATACTTTCCTATCCTCAATAACTCCCTCCACAACCTATCATTCTATTCTAGGTAAACCTAGCTGACCCCATAGATCCTAAATCCTTTCCCCATTCCCCTTTCCAGTCCTTAAAAAAGAGCTTCCACATTAGCTCTCCCTAACTCATCACCCCCTTTTCATTACACACGGCCGAAGTGCATCACTGTGTGGTTGGAGTTCTTACACAAGAGCCAGGACTGCGCCCTGTAGCCTTTCTGTCCAAACAACGTGACCTTACTGTTTTAGCCTAGCCCTCATGTCTGTGTGAGGTGGCTACTGCTTCTTTAATATTTTTAGAGGTTCTCAAAATCACAAACTATGCTCAACTCACTCTACAGTTCTCACAACTTCCAAAATCTATTTTCTTCCTCACATCTGGAACATATACTTTCTGCCCCCCTCCACTACCTCTCAGCAAGCCAAACTCATTGCCTTAACTCGAGCCCTCACTCTTGCAAAAGGACTACATGTCAATATTTATACTGACTCTAAATATGCCTTCCATATCATGCACCACCATGCTGTTATATGGGCAAAAAGAGGTTTCTTCACTACACAATGGTCCTGCATCATTAATGCCTCTTTAATAAATACTCTTCTCAAGGCTGCTTTACTTCCAAAGGAAGCTGGAGTCATTCACTGCAAGGCCCATCAAAAGGCGTCAGATCCCATTGCTCAGGGCAATGCCTCAACTGATAAGGTAGCTA